TTAATGACATTTATTGACTTGCATATATTGAACCAACCCTGCATCTCTGGGATAACGCCTACTTGATCATGTTGAATGATCTTTTTTTTTAATTTTATTATTTTTATTTTATGTGTATGAGTGTGTTGCCTACATGTATGTGCGTGCACCCATGTTGTGAAATGCCATAGAGGTCAGAGAGGGCTTTGGATTCCCCTGGAACTGGAGTTAGGGACAGTTTGTAGCCACCATGTGGGTGGTGGGAATTGAACCCGGGTCCTCTGCAAGAGCAGTCAGTGCTCTTAACCACTGAGCCATCTCTCCAGCCCCTGCACATATTTTATATTCTACAACTGATTTATGCATTGCTGTATTTCTTTTATTTTTTGACAGAGCCAAGAGTGGAACCCAGGGCCTTGCACACAGTAGGTGAGCACTCTACTACTGAGTCATGACTACCACCTTTATTTTATTTCATCTTTTAGACTGCATATAAGATTTTATTACTGAACAGGGTTTGGTGGGGTGTAGGACTCAGAACAGTGGGAGCCCTCAGGAGTGCAGGGCCTGCCTCATGTCCAGGGGACCACAAATGGGGATACATTTGACCCAAGCATTGGAGATGAATAACTTCTCAGATAGCATGTCTTCAAATTAATCTGCAAAGGTAAGACCTCAGTACTTTGAGATGTGGATCTTCTGCTGGTCAGGGAACTCGAATTTGGCTCTACACAGGGCCTCAATCACATGCTCTTTATTCTACAGCTAGGTGCTAATGAACATGATAACCTGGCCAACCTAAGCCCTAGCCACTGTGCCTTGGGGCTTCCCAAAGGCACCCCGTATACCTGTCTGAATTTAAGGTTGGGGACAGCATGGACAGCCACCAGAAAACTGTCTCCAAGTCCCTTTAGGAAACATGCAACAGGCTGCATCCACTAATCAAAGGGGCTGCTATTTGTAGCCACTGCACACTGGCCTCCAAGAGGAAAGGAAGCTGGTTGGCTTTAACTGGCTGCAGAGGCCACCACTTTCGAAAATTAATTATTAATAAAATTAATTCTATTTCATACTAACTGCAAATTATAGATAATTATGGTAGACTGCATGATTTTTTAAAAAAATTTTATTTTATGTGTATGAGTGTAATGCCTGCATGTATATATGTGCACCCGTGTCGTGCAATGCCTGTGGAGGGCAGAAGAGGCCATCAGATCCCCTGGAACTGGAGTTACAGACAGTTGTTAGCTGCCATGTGGGTGCTGGGATTCAAACCCAGGTCTTCTGTAAGAACAGCCAATGTTCTTAACTGCTGAGCCATCTCTCCAGCCCCAACTGCATGATTTTTAAGAAAGATTTAAAAATTACTTATGTGTACGTGTCTGTGTGTAGGTCTGCTCACCAGAGTGCATGATGCCCACAGAGGCCAGAAGAGGGTGTCATTGGACACCTGGGCACTGGAGTTACAGGTGACTGTGAGCTTCTGGATGTGGATGATGGGAACCGAACTCTGGTCCTCTGCAGGAGCAGCAAGTACCTTTACGTGGTGTTTTGAAACGTGTCTACATTGTGGAATGGCTAGCTTGACTTAATTACCATGCACGTTACCTTTCTGTTATGGTTGGGATCATAATGCAGTGCTACTGGGAGGCAGCAGACCCTTTACAAGGTGGGGCTTAGAGGGAGGAAGCCAGTTTATTGAGGGTGGGTCTCTGAGGGGGATATTCAGACTCTGGCTTCTCATGGCTCTCACTCTGTCTGCTCCCTGGCTGCTAGGAAGCAAGCAGTTGCTTCTGCTACATGCTTCCATCATGATGCACTGTCTCACCACTGGCCCAAAGGGAACAGGTATGAGAGACAACGAACTGAAAACTGAACTATGAGCCCAAATCAAACTTTCCTCCTTATAACTTGATTACCTTAGGTATTCTGTCACAGTAACTGATGGAAAGTAGTCAACACACTCATATTCTTTTCTTTCATAGCAAGAACAATGAAAAGTCTCTCAGCCATTTGTGGGTGTGCACATGTACACACAGCCAGAGGTGTTGGTCCTCAGATGCCATCCGCCTTTTCTTTTTCTGGAGACACGGTCTCTCACTGGCCTGGAACTTGACAATCAGGCTAGGCTGACTGGCCAGCAGGCCCCAGGGAGCCACCTAACTCCACCTCCTAAGACTGGGATTGTATACTTGTGCCACCACACATAGCTTCTTTTTTTTTTTTTAACATGGATTCTGGGGATCAAGGTCAGGCCCTCATGCTTGCACAGTTAGCCCTTTGCCCACTGAGCATCTCCCTAGCTCTACTCAACATTTTAAAGTACATAACACATTGTTACCCACAGCCCAACCATATTTTACTCTTGAATTTCTCCTGTGAGGCAGAAATTTTCATCCTATGATCCTGCCCAGTTCCCTTCCAAGGTCCTCATTCCCACAGTCAGTTCACCAGTGCTAAGAAGCTGGCAGTGGGGGGCATAGCACCTCATTCAAGCACAGCACAGCAGGCCCATCAAAGTCAAAAGATGGCATGTGTATGTTTGTGTGCACACACGTGTGTATGTATATGCATGTATCTGAATATGTGTCTCTGTGTGTTATGTGTGCCAGTATATGTGTGTGCCTCTGTGTATTTGTGTGTATATATATGTGCATGTGCATGTGTGTGGTGTGTGTGTCTGTGTGTGCATATGCACGTAGGACACAGGTCAGTTTCCTTGTTAGAACCCTGCAATCCCACCCATCCCTCCTGGGGTAGTCTAGGAAGCCAGTGGCTAGATTTGGGGTCCCAACCTTTGTGTGTTGAGCAGTCAGGCCTAGGAGGTTGGGACCAATTTGTTTCCTGGGTAGAACCGAGCCATGGGAGACCAAGACATTGGCTTTTACTTTAAAAAAGTTTTGTGTATGATATGTGTGCCTATGATGCATGTGTGTGTGTGTGTGTGTGTGTGTGTGTGTACAAAACACAACACATGTAGGAGACAACCTTGGATGTTGGCCCTCACCTTCCACTTTGAGGACAGGGTTTGATTTTTTCTTTTTTATTTTATTTTTTTTTGAGACAGGGTCTTTCTGTAGCTCCAGCTGGCCAGGAAATCACTATGTAGACCAGGCTGGCCTCGAACTCACAGAGATCTGTCTGTTTCTGCCTGTGAGTTCTGGGATTAAAGGCCCATTGAGAGAGGGTCCTTTGGTTGTTCCCTGTGGGGTACACTAGGCCAGCTGGACTTTGAGGTTATATGAATTCTGTCTCTGAACTTCTGTACATGGCTTTACCTATGTTCTGCTGGGATTTAAACTCAGGTTCTTCCACTTAAAGGCAAGGGTTTTACCCACAGAGCCAACATCCATCACTTGTTTGTTTGTTTTTATGGTGTTGAATCAGCCTTACACATTCTAAAGAAGCACTCTCCTCCAGAGCCCTGCTCCAGTCCCGGCTTTCATTGTTCCAGAAGTGTCCTGCTCAGAATCTGGCTGCATGCCCCCAGCCCAAGAGATGTGTTTAGGAGCATGAAGGGCAGGTGAAGGGGCTGAGGATGATGCTGCGGGAGAGAGCAGGTGTGGGCAAGGCACTGGGCCCCAGCTTCAGCACCACAGAAGAAAACCACTGATGCTGCATAAATAGCAGGTCAAGGAATTAAGTTATAATTAAATAATGCCAAGTGATACGTCGTAAATAAGGCAAAACACCACAGGTTTACAACTGCCAGGACCAGCAGGAGCTTCTGAATGCTCTCATCTTGCCAGCACCGGCTCAATGCTTTTTCATTTCTGTCAGAGTGAAGGATGAACAGCAACTCTCTAAGGGTGGCCACGATTTAATTCACAGGGACCTCATCTTGGGTCCCTAAGTGCTCAGCAGCCAATAATAATGGTATTATCAACAACAAAGATGTATGCCTATCAAAATAGAACAAAACAAAAAGATGGGACCAGTGAGATGGTTCAGTGAATAAAGGTGCTTGCCAGAAAGCCTGAAAACCTGAGTTCAATCCCAGGGACTCACCTGGTGGATGGAAGGACAGAATCAATTCCTGAATGTTGTCTTCTTGCCTCCCATGTGTGCTGTGACATGCAAGCCTACACATGCACACGTGTCTGCACGTGCACACTCTCTCATTCACACACTCTCTCACACAACACACACACACACACACATATACTCACACACACGTAAATAACAAATGTAATTTTTTAAAAATGGGAGGCCAGGTGTGGTAGGGCATGCCTTTAACACTAGTACTCAAGAGGCAGAGGCAGTTGGATCTTGTTGAGTTCAAGGCCAGCTTGACCTATATATTGAATTCCAGGTCAGCTAGGACTTTAAAAAAAAAGTGGAGCAAGAATGGAGGCCTCCAGGCCAGGCCAAATTCAAGAAGTAGACACCGACTTGCTGGAAGGATAGACCAGACACGTCCACAGATGGAAGGAAAAATAACAGCCATTAAAGAAAAGCATGTTTGCACTAGACATTAAACACACAAATGAAAACAATCTCTAAAGTACCATTATAAACCTTCTTAATTGGGGAAGGAAATGAAACTGGTCATGGGCAGCAGCATCCAGATCCGGGGCAAGTTTATGAATGGACAACTTGTTACTCAAGTGTAGGCTCACAGAATGAGGAACTGAGAGTCATTCGTATCTTTGATCCTGTAATTATCCCATAGGGTGTGGGGAGTGATTGTATGTGAATGTGCACAGTGGGGCTCCCTGTGAGAGAGGAAGACCCATCTCACCATCCTGTCATCTCGCAGAGTCACAGGACACAGACGGGAGCCAGCTATCCTTGGGGGGCTGGGAGCTCTTGGAGAAGAGGGGGTGAGGTCAAGATGGATGAGACCAGAGAGCTGGCGCCTGTGCTGACCTCTCCCTCCCTTGCTACTTCCAAAGTTAAGTTTAGCCTTTGTGTTAACCAGTGAATGCCACCTTTTATAAATTCTTTCTGCTGTCACCGAGTCTTCAGTTCTCAATGTCAAGGTCACCTCCTCCAAGAAGCCTTCCCTAACCACACGCCACCCTCTGAGTAGTCATGCCTGGGGTTCTCTAAAACTTCATTTACTCTTCCATGATTATTTACATAATTCTTTGGGGTTTTTGTTTGTGCTTTAAATTTAAAAAATTATTTATTTATTACATAGAAGGGGGTCATGCATATGCTACAGTGAGTATGTGGCAGTCAGGGGACAAATTTCAGGTACCAATTCTATCCTACCATGAGGGTCCTGGGAATTAAATTCAGGTTAAGCTTGGTGGCAAGCATCGTTGCCCTCTGAACCAGTTTGCCCCTTTGTTTACTGTGCATTTGAGTGTGAATGTGTGTTTGCAGGTTCATGTCTGTGGGTGCACATGTGTACATGCGTGTGATGGTCAGAGGACACCTGGTCATTCAGGAACAGTGCCCACCTCCTTTGAAGCAGGGTCTCTCATTGGCCTGGAGCTCACCAGTTAGGCTAGACTGCTGGCCCAGGAGCTCCAGCAGGTCTCCTGTCTCTCCCTCTCTAGCATTGTTACGTGTGTGCTCCAATTCTTCCA